AAAGGGGCAAGTTGAGATGCAACCATTTAACACAGATGTGTGAGGCACATCCTGAACTCTGCAATATAGGAAACCAGGTCTAACAAAAGGTGCTCCCTTTAGGGAAGGAGAAAACACCATGTCTTTAGTCTGCTTGGATGCTAACAAAATAAAAGACTATTTTTAGCCATTTCAAGACCAGAGTTGGGTTTCAAATAAATTAAGCTAAATCTTGCCAAGGTACTAGAAATAGAGGCTGCATTACAAAAAGTAGAAGGTCAGGTTGAATACTAGGAAAAACTTCTCCACAAGAGTGGTTGGGCACTGGCACAGCTGCCCAAGGAGTGTTGGGGTCACTGTCCCTGGAGGTGTTACAGAGCCATACAGATGTGGCACTGAGGGATGTGGGCACGGTGGGGTGGGCTTGGGGGTCTTTTCCAACCTTCATTATTCTATAATTCAGCAACATATCAAGTCACTTGGGCCAAAAATTTCCCAAAGCCTTCTCTGTTCAGGAGGAAAAAAAAGTGAGAAATGGCATTCCTCACCTGGTACAAAAAAGTGCCTTAAAAAAAACAACACACAAAAATAAACCCATTTACTTATATTGAAAATGCAGCATCAAGAGAAGCATGAAGGCTTGCTTCCTCGAGTACATGCTGAAACATTTGTTCTTTTTGAACAGTCTAACAGAAACATTAGCCTACAAGCTAGTACTCATTTCTAAACATTACCTAAGAGCTGAAGAAGTGAATAAGCCTTATGCAAAATGCTAATAAGCACTTACAGAGAACAATTTCTCTAACTCATTACAGCTTTGACACACGTGGAGAAAACACATTGCCTGGACCTGTGCAGCTGGAGAAGTGACAGCTGTAGCAAACAGATTTCTGCGTTGTCTTAAGCAAGGGAAGACCATGGAAGGGGGAGAAAAAAAAAAAAAAAAGAGATGGGTTCTGGCAAGGACTGCTGGCACAGCTTGACTTTGGCTCAGGAGGAAGGAAAAGCTTGAGTTACACAAAAATAGGTTTAGGAAAGAATCAATGACATTTCATCTGAAAGTTTTAGCTTAAGTTTTAATTAGGATCCAAGATTTTGCACTTAACTGCATGAAGCAAAGGAATACACGTACTGATGCTTCCCAAGATAACTGACAGATCTGAAACTTACCCATCTCATCTCAAAAGGTTAATTAAAGAACAATCCTTGAGAGCAACACCGTAGGGAAACAGAAAAGAGTCTGCTCCACCTGGGAGTCCTAGGGAAAAGCTGGCAGGCAGCGCCCGCACCCCCACCTGGAATGCTCCAGTTTGCAAACTGTAATCAGTGCACAGTGACCACTGCTGTGGAGACCCAAAATGATTTTGAACCGGCCCAGCAAGACACTGAGAAGAGCACACAGCTTGCCCACAGTGTTTGCTACGGCTCCTGGGCAAGTGCTGCAGTCTGGGCTGTGCTCTGTGTTTTGACACTCCTCAGCAGAGCGCAGAGCGATCGCCACCAGCAGCCAAAGGCAGGGGTGGTAATTCTTATAATTAGGAAACTAAGGCAGAGTGAGTCACCCAGGATCAAAGCCTGCAATTAACCTAGAAACAGGCACTAGGTTCCCCAGTGCCCGTACACACTGACGGTGCTGCAAAGCAAAGGACTTCTCTCATGCCAGCATCATTAAGAAACACGCCAGCTTTTAGGGAGCCTATATACAAAGCTCATTTGAAAATTTTATGCCTATTTAAGAGACATCATCAAAAAGGAGAATAAAAGTTTCATCATTTGAACAAGATTTTGTGGATGTGAGTGACCTTTGGCTGTGCAGTAATTTAATTTACTGGGAACATGAACAAAGTCTCAATTAGGTCTGAGAGGACCACTGCACCATCAGAAGAGGAAGGGAAGTGTGCAGATGTAGGGCTGGAGAGCACTTCACCTCTTGGGGAGGCTGCAGGGATAGTACAAGGCAGCAGTGAGGCTTCCTGGCCAAAGCCAGCACAATTGCTTGCTAGGCATGTAAAGCAGGTTGGCAAGTGCTGCAAAAAGAAGTGAAATACTGAAGCCAAACACTGAGCTCTCAGACCATAGATAGTTTTCCTAAAAACTGAAGCCAGCTGCTGTGGCTGTTAGGGGAGATGTTGAAATGTGGTAGAAGCCCAGAGGAATGATAGAAAATAAAATCAGGATGGTGACAGATTCTGAATGCTGCTTAACAAAGGGAATCACAAGAATCACAAGGTTGGAAATGACCTATAAGATCATCCAGTCCAACCGTCTCCTTGTCACCATTGCCACCACTAACACTAAACCATATCACGCAGCACGTCATCCAGACGCGTCTTGAACACTGCCAGGGACGGTGACTCCACCACCTCCCTGGGCAGGCCATTCCAGTGCCTGACTACTCGCTGAGAGAAGTTGTTCTTCCTTATGTCCAACCTGAACCTCCTCTGATACAACTTGCAGCCATTGCCCCGTGTCCTGCTCGTTGCCTGGGAGAAGAGGCCAGATCCCTCTTCATCACAGCCTCCCTTCAGGAGGTTGTACAGTGCAATGAGGTCTCCCCTGAGCCTCCTCTTCTCCAGACTAAACAATCCCAGCTCCCTCAGCCGCTCCTCATAAGGTTTGTGCTCCAGACCCCTCACCAGTTTTGTTGCCCTTCTCTGAACACGCTCCAGGATCTCAACATCTTTCCTGTAGAGAGGGGCCCAAAACTGAACACAACACTTGAGGTGCGGCCTCACCAGTGCTGAGTACAGGACGATGATCACCTCCCTGCTCCTGCTGGCCACACTATTTCTGATGCAGGCCAGGATGCTGTTGGCCCTCTTGGCCACCTGAGCACACTGTCAGCTCATGTTCAGCCGAGCATCAACCAACACCCCCAGGTCCTTCTCTTCTTCACACTCATCCAGCCACTCATCCCCAAGCCTGTAACGCTGCATGGGGTTGTTATGGCCAAAATGGAGGACCCAACACTTGGCCTTGTTGAACCTCATCCCATTCACCTCAGCCTGTCTAAATCCCTCTGAAGGGCCTCCCTACCCTCAGGCAGATCAACACCACCTCCCAGCTTGGTGTCATCTGCAAACTTGCTGAGGGTGCACTCAATCCCCTCATCCAGGTCATCAATAAAGATATTAAACAAGGTCGGCCCCAGTACCGACCCCTGGGGGACACCACTTGAAACGGGTCGCCAGCTGGACTTCACTCCATTCACCACGACCCGCTGGGCACGGCCCTGTAGCCAGTTCCTTACCCAAAGAAGTGTATATCTGTTCAGACCACGGGCAGCCAGTTTCCCCAGAAGAAGCCTGTGAGGGACCGTGTCAAAGGCTTTGCTGAAGTCTAGGAAGACTACATCAACAGCCCTTCCCTTATCTATCAGACTAGTCACCCGGTCGTAGAAAGAGATGAGGTTGGTCAAGCACGACCTGCCTTTCACAAACCCGTGCTGGCTGGGTCTGATCCCCTGGACACTGCGTAATAATTGGTACAATCTTTATGAGCCCAATTTAACTGTTACATTTTAAAATTCTTTCTCACGTTCTCATCACTCAGAATTTTTTGTTCCTGTTATGGATAATTGTTTGACAGCCTGTGGTGACCCCACAAAAGACTGTCAGTGGCCTGAACAGAAGGTTTGCCAGAGTAAGGCACAGTACATCAGAGACAGAAAAGGCTGATAAGGATGGACAGCAACAGAAATAATCCTGGAGTTGGGACCACTGTTAGTGTGCAGCCTGTAGGAAAGCTGCACAGCAGATCAGTGGGCAGGACAGCCCAACAGAGAAATACTGCGGCAAAGAAAACTTAAGAAAGGGTGTCTACAGACACAGAGTTTTTCTGCAGCATATTTTAATCCAGCAGAAACACGAAATTACACAACTTCCTATAGGAACTCTTCATCTGAGACATGACAATTGTGTGTACCAAAAGCCCGAAACTCCCCAGCCAGGAAAGTGTTAGTGACCCCACACCATTCAGCCTGATGTCCACAGCTCAAACTGAAACCGCCACTTTTTGTTTTTTGAACTGAAGAGCAACCTTTCATTTTAGATACTCGTGGTGTTTTTTTTCCCCCTTGTTTTTTTTTTTTTATTATTTTTTTACTTAAAAGCATTCATCTGAAATAAGTTTATGGCAGTGACAATTGAATCACGGCTGTGGGGGCAGTTTCTTCATACATTGCATTTACAAATATAACGTTTTAGAATTGGCAGATGCTGCCCTTCTAAAGTGTTATCTTTGTAAATGCAATGTCTAGAAACATCAATTAGGCAACATTCCACTTCAGCTACTTGATTGACTGCATTTAGGATGAGATCCTCTCCTTCTCCTCCCAAAAAACCAGTTAAGTATCTGATCTGCAAACACTTGCACAGAAGAGTCACTCACTCAAGTTCTTTATGCAAGGTTTTCAAGGACACTCAGAATTTAAAAGCAGCATTCTTGGGTCTCCAAAGCTTCCCCACACCTAAAGGATGCTCAGAAATGTGGATTCACGTCTGCTTGCAGCATTAGTACACACTTTACGTATATGAACTGCCTGTCACTGATGTACTCATTGAAGTAACTGCAGCCAGGGCTCACCTCTTTTATATATTTACTCATCCACACATGGGGCACACATTTCAAATAGCGAGCCACGTATACAGGGTAACGTTTAAACCAGAGTACACAGAGAGTATCTGTAACTGCCTTGATTAATGCAATGCTTTTGCTAATGCACACACACAAGTGAACGCCACAAGTATAGTGCTGCTTTTAGGATTTCAGACACAAAAGTAAAGGTGTTCAGACTCATGGGTGGAAACCATCAGGCCACAGCAGTTTCCTGCCCCCCAGCATCCTCTCTCTGCAGCTCACAGCACTTCAGTCATCCTGCAGTCTTCACTTTCTCAAACAGGTCTGCAATACTCATGAACAGGAAAATACCAAACGCAACCAAACCCTCAGCAATGCCACTTGCTGTGAAATCAGGAGGCATCCTTTCAGCACCCTGCTGTGTGAGTGAGCAGAAAGCTTACCCCATCTGGTAGTGCCCTCCAGCAGACAGCACTCACAAATTCATTTGTATCATCTTCTTTCCGGTCCTTGTCCAGGACGCTCTTGACCGTATCAAACTTGAATGTCAGGAGTGTCTTTGAGAGGCCTTTATAGTATAGGTAAAGGGAATTATTTTCACTTCCTAGAAATAAAAAAATACAGAAGATCATGTTCTGGAAGCATTAAAAAAAACAAAACCAAACAGTTTCTTAGCTCTTTTATTCTTTCAAGAGATGACATTTCCTCCCAGTGGTTGTCATCATGCTTGTGGTGCCTTGGCAACTGGGCATGGCCCGCAGCAAACTTTCACAATGCTTGAAAACAGAACAGGCTTTATTACCAAACAACTGCAGTATGCAGTGCATTTGTAAAATACACCAGATCCCAATTTTTCTCCAGAACTTCCTTAAGGTCAAGATCTTTGAGTATGGCATCTACACTAGCATGTGGAATGCATGCTCAGTGTCACAGCTGTGAGGCAGGTAGCACTGTCACACATTTGCTTGCAGTAATCGAATATGACAGTAGGGTCCACGGAGGTTTAAGTGAGAGAAACTAGACAGTGAGTAGGCTTCATTTAAAATCCATCCCAATTTCTGCCTTACAAGCTTTGGGGAGATCAGAGAACACATGCTAAGGTTCCTGCAGTGCTGGAGCAGCCATCCCAATCATCTCAGTGGAATCAGCCTGCCCATGCTTTTCTACCAAGACCTGAGGATTTGCAGAGGTTCAACAGTCCAAAAAGCAGAAAAAAACCCCAGAAAGAACCCAAAGAGTAATTGCTTAAGGATGAGTTAGTCTTCTGAAAGTTGTTCACGATGAGGGAGTCACTGCTTCACCAGGCTGAACACTGAGCTAAAGTGACAAGTATTTGACCCACTCACATGGTCTAGACTGCTAACCTTCCTAAGAAAAAATGCAGGAAGATGCATCAGTTGATAAATTTGAAGGGCATATGTCGTATGAACACCAACTATGTTAATAAGCAGTTTTTGGGGGCAGCAAAGAGCTCATCTCAAATGAAGGGAAACCAAGTAGTAATCCCTTAGGTCAAGCTGCTTACATCATTCCCAGGAGGGCTCAGGACAATCCTCTATTTAGAAGTCCATGCAGCTACAGGGCATATTGCTGGTGTGCTTTGCAAATGACGGGGCAGGAGCCCCAAGGAGTCCCACCAGCACCAGTCAGGACAGCTGCTCTACTCACCACAGGCGATGTAGTCCCCGTTGGACGCCAGCCCTACAAAATTCTTCTCATTGATGTGGCCCTTGAAGGAGCGTAAGCAGTGAGGTTTCCCTACGTTCCACAGCTTCAGCTGACTGTCTGTTGACCTGAAAACAATACTTGAAGTTACAATGCTGCCATACGGCAGGTAATCCTTGCTTGAAATGCTCCTCCTGAACACCCTACTTGCAGTGTTAGTGTGGGAAGTCTTAGTGTGCTTGCAGAGATTTATCCCACTTTCAATCACGTGCAACCCAGCTTGAGCCTGACAAAGTATCTGTTCTTTTTAAAAGCCTGTCAAAATGTTTGAATAAAATACTTCCTTGCAGTATTACTCTTCCTCTCTCCTATCAATTGCTGAGTCCTCCACTGAACTGTACAGCCTGTGGAACATCACTGCCTCCTCCAAATCCTTGCAGATCTGGGACACGATTTTTTTCCAACTTCTACAGCACAGAGGAAGTCTGCTCCTTCCTGCCGGCTTGCTGAAATTCTCATTCATGCCTTTACAGAATTCAAGGCAGTCTCCTCCTCTCTGGCTGCCTTGAAAGCACAGTGTTCTCCTCCTGCCCAATACCAAGCAGCAGCACATAGAAACCTACGGGGGTTCAGCGTTACTACTTGCATTAAATTCATGTGGATTTCTCTTGTGTAACTGAGACTGCCTAAGATATAAATCTCAAACTTTCACTGTTTTCACCTTGACAGCAAAGCTAAATATTACTTTTAGAAATATACAACTCCATAGAGATTAAATCGAAATCGATGTTTTGCATTGTTCCCCCACTTGCAAACATACCCGTCTTCAAAATGCTTCTCTATTTACTGTGAGCAAACCTCCCTTTCAGCAAGAGCAAGGTGCTGTAGGTGCAGACTTCTCAGGCTGGCAGAGCTCAAGCAAACTAGGAAGACCCCAGATCTCAGGGCTAATACATTTCCTCAGAGCTGATAGGATTCGAGCCTCTTTCACCTGCCAGGATTTATTGTCTAGCCAGGCTCTGATGTCCCAGCATTCCCTGACTTATGGCTGTGAACACATCAACAGCTCCTGATGTGGAAGGGACTGGAGCTCGGTTAGCCCACCCTTGAGAAAACAGAGCTGTTCTGATCTTAAATTTGAAAGAGAATGGGAGTAGGACCTGTCATCTGGCTGAGATGGAAGAAAGGGGAGGCTGGTACAGGCTGCAACACCCAAACTTACTGCTTTTCAAATACTGGGAGTTGGGAGGAAAAAAAAAACCCACTCACAATATCCATCAAATATTCCCAACGTAACACATTAATCCAATGTCACGTTTGCCTAAAAAGTATAGCATGAGAGAGATGCACCTCGTGCTTTACTGCAAAAACCTTATCTCAGCCCTCAATGACAGCTGGAATGACAAAGGAGAGATAAGGGAGCTGCAGCAAGATTTGTTAGTCATATGTAATAACAGCATGAGGTCGGATCTCGACGAAGGTATGAACTGTATCTCCAACACTGCGACTTGAGCAGAAGTGCTATCCTAGTCCCAGGGCTTGACCAGAGAGGCCTAAAAGAGAGCATTCAGTTTCCCTAGCTACACTGCAGCTCACTCTCCCTTCTACTCATCATCAGAGCAATGCAAAGAAAAGGAAAAAACACATACGGTACTGTTCTGGCTTTTTTTTTTTTTTTTGGTATTTGTTGGTTTTTTTCATTGTTGTTGTTTTTGCCTTTTGCCTTCTTTTTTTATTGTCCAGAAGTACAAGGACATTGCCTTCTTTGCTGTTAGGATAGCAGTATTATTTTTAAAACGGTACATTTTAAAGCTTCAGAGTTGCCTGGAAACTAAAAATTTCAGAAGGCAGAGTGAAGCAGAAGAATAATTCCTGGTCTACAAGCTGTCAGGTTCCTGTGACAGCTTCTGCTATTAGCTAACCCATCAAGACAACCTTACGTACACAGGCACTTAACCTCCGTGTTTTAGCAACATACATTCTAGATCTTCATTAAAATAAAAACACTTCACATTAAAAGCATTCAATTAGTAATAGGTTAACAATATTCTATCACACTCTAGCCATTTTTTCACTCTTTAAGACAAGTGTGCCATAGTAGATGATGGTTACCTGCCACTGTGCCACAAGGATAGGAACAGGCCATTGATCCTTCTGCTGTGACACTGCTCTACTGGTTTCATACCCTCTCCAAAAAAATATCATGGATGTGCTGCTCTGGTAAATCTGCCTCTCTGTAAATCAGCACTGTAATCGATGTGTTGTGCTAAATACCAGGCAGTTCTGAACATTCTCGAGGTCAAAACCTAACTCTACAGGGCACAGTAAATCAATGCAATCTATAAAACAGCTTTAGCTAGAAATCTGAAGAATCTGAATATACAAATATTTTTTTTCTTTAAAGGAATTGGTGCTTGACTTTTGGGAGTCACTACTGCTGACACCCCAGTTTGCAAAATTAAGACATCTATTCTCTCTGACGCTTCCTTTTGTTCACACAGAAAGATAGATGAACCCTAGAGTTAGCTGCCTCGTCCTGTTACTGCCTGTCCAATTCCAACAGCTCTATTGATATTCCTCCCAGGGCTCAGGATATCCACTTTCAACTGGACAGCTCAAATAGGACAGGGACGTTCTACCCCACCGAACCCCATGGCTGTAAAACATTCTCAGCCTCCTTATGCTTCTAGTAAACGCTTTCTTCTTAGACAGATCTGGTTCAAAGCATTCAATTTAATTTGATCTATGTTCTAGGTATGAATTTGCACCCTTACAAAGAGCTATAACACTGATGGAAATAAGAAGAGGAACGGATTAAATATAAACAGCACTGGAAGTCACTGGGGAATCTTCCATCACACTGCTCAGATCAGCATAATTCACCAGCAGTCTGAATACTCAGCCTCAAGAAGCTCTGCTTTAGCTCCAGGCTGCTAGAGCAAGCAGTGAGAACACACAGGGAGAAATGAGATAGACAGACATCTACTCAGCTCAAGAAAGCAAGCCAGGACTAGATTTAACCCTGTGATTGCTTCCTACTGCCCCTGATGTCAACACAATCACATACAACACCTAACATTCCTCTAGCAGCCCATAGCCTCCAAAAAGTTATTTGCCTTTTACCCATCGTTTAACAGGGACCCATCTCTGTTTGGTTCACGTACCCAGTCTTACAAATCTTTCCACACGTCATCTGATAGACATACTCACCCCTACATGACTGAAATCTTACTTCGAATGGAGGCAGCCAGATTTGGTTTTGGGGTGGTTCCACCTGATTTGCTTTCACGCTGTGGCTAAATGCCCTCTTCAGCTGTAGCAATACTATTTAATCACTTCTGTCACTCATCAGGCGCCCTTCTGCTGCAGATTACTATTCTCAAGCTGCCAGCAGCCTTGTCTGCAGCAGGGCTCTGGTCAGGAGCACCCTCAGCATACAGGCTCTTTAGAGGAGGACCATTGACTTGCAACTTACCAAAGCCGGGGCTTAAGGTCAGAAGTCGAATCTCTTCGTCTTCACGTTCCTCAAGCTTCTCAGCTCCATAAGATAGAGCAGAGCCAAGTAACACGAGGAATTAATTTCTATTTTTGCCTTGGAAAAAGCAAATATCTGCTTCCTAAAAGCACAGCAAGTGTGCGCATCCACCCACACTGACCACCTTGCAAAGCTGCCAGAAACCAAGGGCTACCAAGTTCTTACCCTACATAAAAATAAATACTTACGCAGAGACTATTTCCTCCCCACTCACAAACTTTGCATAGGAGACTGCCTTGCGATGCCCTTTGAACACCATGATGGGTTGCTTAGTGTTGCGAAGATCATAATAGTGGACACAGTGATCTGGAAACGAGAAAGAAGAGGTAATATTTATCAGCTGGGAAGGATGAATGGGACCTCTCATAGGTAATTAGCTCACAATGAGAGTGCTGCCTATGCTATATCTCACTTCATGCTGCAACTGGGGTGAACAATCTGCACAACAGGAAAGGAATGTTTAAAACAGGCTGCTTCCAATGGCCCCAGAACTCAATTCTACAATCCCCTTAGCCCACGTGCAAGGCAGCAGCTAAAAGGATGCTCATCACTCCTGCCTTCCTTCTTGGCATTGTGCCTGGGCAGCCTAATTGCCACTTCTAAGGCACAACCCCTCTCCTTCCTCAATCTGGCCCCTCTTGGAAAACTGCTGAAGAACCTTAGGCTATGAACTCAGTCTGTCTGCTACTGAAATGGCAGAAAACACGGACTGAATTTCTTATGCTTACCCTATATGGGTAACCTCTATACTTTTGTTTTTGCTTCTCTCCTTGGGCTTCATTACCAATCAGAGAGAATAAGCATTTCTGCTTGTGAAAGAGCAGAGACTAAATTTCAGTTCTTTAGATTTAATTCACAGATGTGCTGCAGTGCCACAGCCACATAAAAAGGATTGCGACGAAATTAGCAATACATTTTATTTCCTGCACAACTAAATGCCAATTCCCAGGAAAACAGAAAAAGAAAAGCAAGAATAGAAGCCCCCATGAGATCCAAGCCCTAAGGCCACCCACTGCTCTTCCTAGCCTAATGAGGTTAATCAGCTTCTCCCTCCCTGACCTTCCATTGTCAATGCTGAACTTCATTTAATTATCTCCTGCTGCTCTGGACACCCAGGGAGGGCAGGCAACACCGTGTGCATGGAAGCAGAGCAGGAAGCCTCCCTTAGAATTACAGAATCATTAAGGTTGGAAAAGACCTATAAAAGAGCATCTAGTCTAACCGTTGACCCATCTCAACCATACCACTAAACCATGTCCCTCAATGTCACATCTCCACAGTTCTTGAACACCTCCAGGGACAGTGACCGCCCACCCTGCACAGCCTATGCCAAAACCTGACCACTCTTTTGGAGAAGAAATTTTCCCTAATATCCAAACAGAACCTCCCCTGGTGCACCTTGATGCCATCACCTCTCATCCTGTCGCAGCCTCTGGGAGCAGAGGCTGACCCCCACCTCACCACAGCCTCCTTTCAGGCAGTTACAGAGAGCAGTGAAGTTTCCCCTGAGCTCCTCTTCTCCATGCTGCCCCGTCACATTCCCTCAGCTGCTCCCTATCGCGCTGTGGTCCAGACCCCACACAGCTCCACTGCCCTCAACCTTCTAACCCCTGCAATTCAAGGTACCCAGACATCACTCAACACTGCCCTGATCTTCCTTCTGCTGAAACAACAATCACCAGTGGAAGATTATCACTAAGATTATCCAGAAATGAATTTAAATGCCAATAGCTGCAGCTACTTCTGTATTTGCATGGTTTCAAAGCAGGGCTCTCAGTCTCACAAACAGTGCCTGGCTGTCTCAGCATCCCATGTGCTTTGGGAGATAACTGGATTCCCATTGATCAGGCCAGGCCACAGCAGCTCCTGGAGCAGAGGCAGATTTTCACCCATATTAAGGGACTAATTGCAGGACACAGGGACAGAGCCCTATGGCAGAACCTGCAGTCAGATGTGGCAAGAAGGCAAGCTGTCCTCTCTGCTCTAAGTGCCTCATTTCACTGCATATCAATACAGGTCTAGTGGCCTCTCCCCTCTCCTTCTTGCAGTGCAGAAGCAGACACACTGAGTCTCCTCCATCACTCACACCAGGATTCAAGCATGCAGGGTCTGGCCAAGCCGCCCCACTGGACTCAAACTCTGCAGCTGCTGTGTCCCTTCCTGCTAGTACCAGGTCATGGGGAAGTGCCATACTCTCAGACACTCCTTCATGTGCTCCTGTTCCTTCTACCTCCAAAACAGGAGCCTCAATGGCTGATGCTATTGACCAAAATCCCAGAGCTTTCCTAAAATACATTCATTTAATCAGCTTTAGCACAACAGGGTGATGTAACACGCATACTCAACAGAGGGGATGATTTTCAAGGAGAAGTTAGATTAAGTGTTAACTTCCTTCCATACAATCTGAGCATCTCGCTCCCCTCTATCTCTTTGAAAGCTTGCTTCAAACCAGGCACATTTGCTAACCTGGCCAGCATACACCTCCTGGAGCTATGAAACAGTTAACTGGCAATTGTTATTTTAATGAGCAGAAACGATTCTAGCAGGGCTTCCCATTAACAGTCAGTTAGTAGATAAGCCTTTCAAGCCTATTTTTGCTCCCAGTTTCAGCCTCTTCTCCAGCTGGCCTGTCATTAGGATGCCTCTGGATCACCAGATTTTATCCTTCAGAGAGTGACAGGGAAAGGGGGATCTGCGGATGGGCTGAATGAGAATGCGTCAAAGCATCTGGACAACGGGGAAAGGCAAGAGCTGCAGCAGGAACCAGCGGCAAAGGGATGTGGAGATGCACTCGCCTCCAAAATATGGCAACAAGCAGCTGGAAGTCCACTGGCACCCGGCACAGCGTGCCTCCCCATGGCACCAGGGCAATCAATCACTGTCTGCTCTCATCACCGCAGGGCCGGGGGAACAGCAAGGCCAGTGGGCTCTAAAATTAGCCACTTAATTATTAATTGATTATTTCAGCAGCCCAAGTGTTGGCGCGCAATTGAGGTTTTTTTTTTTCTTTAATTCGACTGAAGCAGCTATTTTTAAAGCAGTTATGTGAAGACGAACGCATGCTGCATTCATTAAAACCAGAACAGGTGGTCATGTTTTACAATTAAAGAGATACTCTCTCTTTTAGGCCATATGGACTTTCCGCAAACAAGATAAAAACGCCATCTGCTGAGGAAGAGCAGAGCCTGAAAACGAAGCTAAATGAGAGGAATACAACTCCCAGGTAGCCCAATAGGAGCCCCTTGGGGTGGACTGGGATGAGGGCACAGCAGCACTGAGTGCTGTGCAGCTCAGCAATGAGGTCCTAGGAGCCAGCTGGTGGTCAGGAGAATGGACATTGAGGGCACTCAGCCCCTAAGCTCGGCAATTACCCTTCAACTTTTTAAGAAGTTTGCACATTCCTAGAAGCCACAAGTGTTTGTTTCGCTGCCAGTTGTGTACAGCTCTAGTGAGACCTTTTGGTGATAAGTGGACAGTTGGACTGGATGATCTCATAGGTCTTTTCCAACCTTAGTGGCTCTGACTTCTTTGTTTTGTTGGGCATTAAAACCACCATCCAGCAAGTTTTATTTGTTAAACTCTACAGTTCCCATCCCTGACCCAAAAGCTCACTTAAAACAATTTCAATTTCCAAATGATATTTCCACAGTTAAAAGCCTCACACATAACCCTCAGGCAGCAGCAGCTCCCAACTTCACTTCTGCTTCCGCGTTCTGGCTTAATTGAAATATACACAAGATAATGGGGAGGAGTATGTATACATACCATAACAAATTAAACACTCCAAAGCAATTCTCATCTAATTCAATGTCACTGCAGACACCGAGCATGACAGAATTTTGCTGCTGCTCCTCCTGAATTCAGATTTATCAGGTCATGTTATATCTGTTTTTACTGCATTTTTTAAATGGCCTCAGAAGGCAAAAAGGGCAGCTCAGCTCTGCTACCACTGCCAGGAGGTCACAGACCCCAGAGCTGAGTTTTTAAATAGCACTTCCAGGAGTGCTTACTCCCCCAACCAAGCAGTGCTTTCACCTTCAAGCCGCTCAGCGACAACTCATCAGGAATTCAGACTTTCTGCTGCAAGCACTGACAAGTCCAGCAAAACTTTCCAGAGATGTCCCAACCACCCAGGAAATACAGCCTGTGTCATCAGAGGCTGCCATCACTCACTGGTCAGCTCGTAAATTAGCAAGGCAATAGGACGGCTGGAACACGGTGAGGAGATGAGCATCTCCATCTCAGCTTGGGCACTGAGGAGGGGGTGAGATGAACAAACTGATGATGTGGTTATACCAGTGCTGGAAATACTTCCACAAAGAGAGCTGGGAATTGCTAATGGACCCGGCAGCAGCTTCCATAATTTTATAAGATGTAATTGCTCTTGGATTTTCAGTGGTTTAAACAACAATAAAAGAGAGCAAAGTCTGTTTTTTTGCCAAAAATGCTTTTCCTTACACTTAGGGAGATTTGCTGCTAAAGTTCACAAGACAGCTGTTATCAGAAAGCTCTAAATTCACATCACCGATTGAAAAGATTGAAAAGACTGAAAATAGACTGAGGAGCAACTTTAGATCAAGGTTAGCAAAGAGCATCGTAGGGCAGCAGATTCTTTTCCCCCCTGAGTACCTGTGTGTAGTGGCGGTGACGCACAGACCAATCCAACTCTCCAGGTACCGGCAGTTCCAAGCCACATTCATCTTCCACATCACATTCAGCAGCATTAACTACCCTACAGCTCCAAGTACCTCGCAGCCCTCCAAAGCTTTTTTTTTTCCTGACTGAGAACCACTTCCTAGAAGGAATATCAAGCCAAGGACAGCAAAACAACAGCTTACCTGCAATGCAACAGCTTTGTATGCAATAGAGGTAGCGACTAGAAAGCCCCAAGAGCTGCACGCAAAGGTCCTGTAGCTCTCCTCAAGAAAATCAAATTGCTGACAAACTGAAGACCATTTTTCTTACTTCATTCAGAAATGCATATTTCTCAGCTGTTCAATATTTATGTTATTGATCTACTCAAAACATAAGCAATTTAGGTTGTTCTCATTTTTCAAGGGCTTACATGCCTGGGAATGCCAGTGGTGCTGACTGCTGCACGTCAGATGAATGCCATAGGCAGGAAGATGCCAGTATCCAAAACTGAAGCTGGAAAGCAGCAAATCAGATGCTGCTTAAGGTCTGTGAGAGGCCCTTTGTCATCCAAGCACATTTCAAATTATTATTATTTTTTTAAAAATAAACAAGGGATCAAATCCACTTCCTGTATCAATGCTCCAGCTCCAACCTGCAGTCCAGCATGCCTC